GTTAACAAAAAATATATTAAAAAAATCATGGTTACATTTTCTATGTCGAAGTCAGAATGGGAAGGAAGGACCAAAGAGCTGGAATGTGGCAGCCGCCCATGCGGCAAACCCTCTTCGCAGTCACTGTTCGGTTGAAAACCCTCGTCTCTGGGTGGCGATGGAGGCTTACACGCGGCTTCACGACTGTTACTACTACCATACTTGTTGGAATCTCTCTCCTGCGACGACGGGGCTAAACGAATAACCTGCACCGTGTTAAAAGAAGTACACGAATGCAAGACGTACATTTCAATTCACCGTTCGGCACAGCTTTCAGAGTCTGTACTTCATTGATGGTATGGCTGGACATCTGCGAAGTGAGAGTCGCGTACAGCTGATTGATCAGAGTCGTCGAACGATGATCATTGATGTTGCTATATGCATCGCAAAATGACGGTGGGTGGCAGATCGAATCCATCGTCGCCGCTGTCGCATCCGTCATCTTTCCCTCTTCTTCACCCTCCGCTGCTTCTCCCTCTTGTTTTGGTTGAATTTGCAAAAGCTGATTTTCAAGAACCCGCTGGTTCTTTTTCATTTTTTTACGCAGCTTCTTTCTTTTGTTTTTCGACATTTTTTGTGTTACTAAATCTTTTACTTCCTTTGGCGCCGTGCACACTACAATATCATGCCAGTTTATCTACACTTCACAGCTAAAAAAATACATTACCTTCACTTCCGGACAACTTTGTCCCCTCTTTCAGTTTAACGGCGACTTTCGATGCCATTTCTTTCACATGATTATGTGTCATACAAACAAGAACGTTCTCTGGCTTTATATCAGTATGAATTATGGAACATTTATCATGAAGATAAGCAAGTCCTTCGAGCACCTAAATAAATCCTTCTTCGATTATGTACATTAAAACTGTGGCGTTAAACGATGACCCTACCTGTCTCATGATATTCTTTACGTCACTCAACGGTATACCTTGGTAATTGCTTCGAATAATTAACTTTAACAGGTTGTGACCTAAAACTTCAAAAACCATCGCAACATGCGTTCCATGTATGCCGTGCACTCGAAACTCATCAAGCAATTGCACAACTCTGCCGCGGTGGGGGTCGTCCGGATCGCCATCCCGCACCTGAACAAATGAAAGAGTTTAGTAAAAATAAACGGGCCAATCTTTTTTGCCTTAAAAATCTACCATAAATCTACAAAAGATGACCGAGTAGATGGTACTGCTTTAAATTAGGCGTTTTTCACCGTTTATTTAAAACTGCACCAAAGCTTGCTTTTAAACAGCCGAATTAAAAACCGAATTTGTTTATGAAATGTCAAATTCTTTAAACAACTCAAACAAGAAGCAAAATGCAATACTTGCTTGTTTGGCTACATCGGCTTCAGCAGACCAGGTTACTTAGACTTCTGACACGTTAAAACTGTAGCTCCTGGTGTCCAGATCGTATTCACTGCTGTTAATTGCAGTCTAAGCTATGAGCTTTTACTTAACATTTTGGTCGGTCTACTGCCTTAAATAAAGTTGCCCTGAAGAACAAACACTGATGACTACTATGGACTGAAATATGAACAGACACATTCAACAGATTATTCTTTCAATATGCAAACTCTACGGTACTTTTAGAATTCATCTGAATTTGCTTGAAGGGGCTTTTAATTCTGGGCGCATAATTCATCAACGGATTGCTTTCTTGATGCGTGGTTAGGATACCCAAATTTGAAATAGGTGGAAAAGCTTTATTTCGAGACTTTTTTTACCAACTCCGGTAACATAATTAGGACTGAATAAACTGACAAGTCCAACTCAACATTTCGGCATAATAACAATGTAGTAATACACCTACATTTTATGTATATGCATACAACCGATAGCGTCTTCTCATACCTACGAACTAGTAAATCTATAATATCAAGGTTAATTTTTATTATATATGCTTACGAAGAATCGACGTAAATATGTTAGTGTTCGACCCAAAAAGCGAGGCCATTTCGCGCCCGTGTGCTGCAGATGCTAAAATACCATGGAACCGTGACCTGTTTAAACGGTCACCTGCGTACCTACAAGCAATAGTGTGACTAAGCCGTCGAATTCGGAGAAGTGATAGGAAGTTGCTGTTTTTGACGCTATATCGAAAACTAGGAATCTGTTGGTAAACCGATAATACAGAAGTTAATATTTACTATATGTGAAAATAGAGTAATTCGTTCTTGCATTGGTGGTAATGCCGAAAAAATAGCGTGAATCATAGTTTACTGATACACAATGCGAAAGATACAGTGGTCAGTAAGGTGAGTCCGTCTGGTTCTGAAACCAGCGACTGCTGCGAACGACCGGACACACGAAAACTTTCCCGCCAACTTGCCTTGAAGAAGGCCCGTGAAACACGGGCTGAAATGAAGGTACTGGTCATCTCGGACTGACCACAATATCTTTTGCTTTGTATATAAGTAAATCGTGTTTTACGCAACTTTTTAACTGTACATTATCATGGATTTGAACAAGGTTAGTGTTCGACCCAATAAAGTGGCGTGACTTTGCGCCCGTACTGCAGATGGTAAAATACCTTGAAGCCGCAATACCACTAGTAAGGGGACGGTGCGACTACGCTGTATAAACCTGGATAAGATACAGAAGATTATTTTCTGACGGAATTAAGCGTACTGCACTAATACGCATTGTTTAATTTAAGTTTACTCAGTGGGTCAATGTCAGCAGCAAAGCAATCATAAGACGACACAACCACACTGAACAAGGATATCAATGACATGACAGTGACGAGACTGTATTTTGTACCAAGGCTGTACGGCACTGATTGTTTCAACGTCGACTCCCATTTTCACCACCCATCTATTATTTTTTGGTCTCATTCATTAACGACATAAGAGGTAGTTGACAACAACTAAGCTGATCCACCTTAAACAATC